TCTCTCTCTCTCTCTCTCTCTCTCTCTCTCTCTCTCTCTCTCTCTCTCTCTCTCTCTCTCTCTCTCTCTCTCTCTCATTCTTTGTTTAACAAGCTAAGGTGATTTTGCCGTGTCATAAAGCCCAACAGCAGATGGCAAGAAGGGCAGGGTTAGGGTGACAGCTCCCATCTCCACTGGCAAGTCTTGTCAGTGCTTAGCTCAGAGCTGAAGATCCACCTTGCTGCCTGTATGAGAGAGGCCTTCCTCCTGCTACTGCAAGAAACATGGACTACAGAGCCCTTTTAAAGCACCCTTCCTACAGTGCTTTCACTGGAATAGCTGTCAGCTCTGCGTGGCTATAATGGGGGTCAGCAACAGCCACCAGTGTGGGTAGCATGTGTCGGCTTTCGTCCGGTATCACTGGTGTGCCATCCTCTGCTCCAGTGTACTGTCTCTCCTCTCCCCTTGCAGCCTACATTATTTATCACCTATAATGCAAAAGAAATGTTAGCGGAAAACGTACGCAGGTGCTATTGGGGAGGAAAGGATACCCACCGCAAGCCAGATCCTCAGTACCGTGGGTCCCCTGCAGGTCAGAGGGCAAGGAGAGGGTTCCTCCAGAGAGCTGGCATCATACGAGGAGGGGGAGTTCGTTTTGGTACTGCTGAGGGGGGGGGGAATGTGGGAGTCCCCCAGCCCTCTCTCTATCCCCTTTTGTGGGGCTGCGTGAGCAGGATCAGAACCTGTGTCTGTGTGTGTGTTTGGTGTGTGTGTAGGAGGGGGAGGGAGGAGTGTTTGAGCTAAGGAGCGTTGTGTTTGTGTTTGTGTGTGTGTATGTGCTTTTAGGAGTGTGAGGAGGTGTGGGAGTGTGGTGCAGGGGTGTTTGTGTTGGCTAGGCAGTTTTGTGAGGGAGAGTGTTTGTGTGTCTCACTAACTGTGTTGAGGATTGTGTGTGTATCGGGTGTGTCTGTTTGTACTTACCAGAACAGACACACAGACACACACACAAACAGGACCGTAGCTTGATGGCCTTCCTCCATTTTTCCTGAGCCCTCGCTCAGGGAAATCATTCACTGATGTCACTGGGAAGTCCGCCTTGGTAGGGAGTCGTTGAAACTAGGTCTGGCTTGCGTCCAGCCCTGCAAAGGCCTATGCTCTCCTAGTCCAGGGACTCCTCCTCCGGTCTACGGAGCTGGAGTTGGGGGAGGGCAGGATCCGCCCCTCCCTTGCACCAGCAGACAGGGTCAGGTGTAGGCCACACTTCACCTTTTCAAAGGGTGGCACAGCGTGTGCTGTAGGGTGAGCTCCCGGGGCCATTCCCCTGCCTGAGTCAGCACGAGCCCCCCAGGAACTGCTGGGGTGGGGGGAAGCTGCACCTCTAGCCACCCCCTCATTGATTGAGTTGGCCCATCGCCTTCAATGAGAGCTTTGCGTGTGCAGCGGCTTCAGGATTTGTCTGCTCTGCCCGTGCCTCCTCCCACAAAACCCAGGTGCACACAGGGCGGGATTCCAAATTGGGGCAGGCAGGCATGATAACACTGACCTCATCCCCTGCTTACACCAGGGCTGTGCTGGGCTCCTGGGCGGTCTGCGCGCATCTACACACGCTGCGCATTGCGTTTCTGCTCACGCAGACGTATACTGACCGGGACACACATCTCCCAGACAGACACAAACCCATTCACACCCGCACCATCCATACAGACACAAACTCATGTAGCATCTGTGCACACGCACAGCTGGCCACATACCCAAACCCCCAAACCCATACACTGTACGTGCTCCTTCACCCTCCCCTCATGAACCAATCCACTCACAATCACAGCCACACCCAACCTGACACCCCCATACGTCATCCGTGCGCATTCACATCCGCGCACGCAGACAGGTATTCTCCTCTCTAACGAGGCACAGACACACTCACTTGACCTTACACAGGGCCCTGCTCACCCGCAGTCATGAACTCTGAACCTCATGCAGTGGCATTACCATGCCTGTTAGCAAGCCTTACAGAACTCTATTCTCAATGTCATCCGGCCTGCCTGCATCTCTCTGCCACCCCCTCCCACCCATTCCCTTGTCTCCCTGTCCCTACTTGGACCTAAAAGAAACGGTCACTTTCCCCTCCAGCCCCCCACCTTCCATTAGGGTTCACGCATTACTTCACTGTGTTTAGACTTTGCAGTCACGTCCCCTGATGCCGCTATTAGCCAATTTCACAGCACTCTGGGCTGGTGGGACCTCGCACTCTTCTATGCATGCAAATTATATCCATCGGATGCCAATGGAAAAGAGGAAGGAAGGAGGAGGGAGGGAGGAGTGTGAATGTATGTAGGATGCTTTTCCTCTAGATGCTCAGTCACTGAACTGCAATGTGTATTGGTGGACAGAGAGATGGACAGTGCTGGGAGACTGGAGAAATGGACAGAACCAGAATAAAAGGATAAAAGAGAGGGGCAGAGTCAAAGCTGACTAGGTGCAATTGTGTGTGTGTGTGTGTGTGTGTGTGTGAGAGTGAGTGTGCGCGGTGCGCAGGTGTATAGAGCAATACACTGATTTCCAAATGAAGTTCCTGTTTACCAGCTATTTGGAGAATGTCACTTTTTTGCATGCAGTGGGATGTGTTGATGTTATGTGTGTAGTCTTTGTCTCCTGGTGTATGTTTGTGTGGTGGTGTGTTTGTGTGTAGTATGTGTGATGAAAAATATTTGTCCAGGTGTGTTAATGTGTATTTGTGCTTGTGTGGTGTATATTTGTGCCTGTGTGGTGGTGTATGTTTGTGTGATGGGGTTTGGTGTGTATTTTTGGTGTAAGTTTGTGTGTTATGTGTGGTTTGTATTTATAGTATATTTGTGTGATAAGCATGTCTGAATGATGGTGGTTGTACATGTATCCATATCTCTGTGTGTGGGTGTTTGGTATGTATTTGTGTTTGTTTAATGGGGTGTGTTTGTGTGGTGTTGTATGTGTTCAAGTGGTTGGTGTGTGTTGTGTAATGGTGAATGTTTGTGATGTGGTGTGTTTGTGTTTGGCATGTATTTGTGTGTGTGTGATGGTGTATGTTGTGTGTTGATTGTATGAGCATTTGTGTGATGAGTATCTGAAAGACAGCATATGTTTGGCTGTGTGTGTGTGTTTTGTGGTGGGGTGGGCATGTTGGGTGTGATTGAGAGAAATGGTGAGCCTCTCATTCGGTGGGTGGAGGTTTGGGTTTGTATGTGTGTGTGTGTGTGAACAGGTTGGTGTGTGAGGCTGTGGGGGGGCTGCATATGTCTAGGGGTGGAGTATATGTATGAGAAAGTTGGTGTAGGGGTATGTGTAGGGTGGTGTGTGAGTACGAGTAGGTTGGTGTGTGAGTTTGTGTGTGTGTAAATGTGGGTGTCGGAGTAAATTGGTGTGTGAGGCTGTGGGGGTGTATGTGTATGGGGCTGGTGTGTGTGTATTGGTAAATTGGTGACACTGCGGGGGGTTGTATGTGTATGGGGCTGAGGTGTGTGTGTGTGTGTGTGTATCAGCAAGTTGGTGTGTGAGGCTGCATGTATGGAGTGTGTGTAGGGTGGTGTGCATGTGCACAGTAAGTTGGTGTGTGGGATTACGAGCGTGCCTGTGTGTATGGGGGTGTAGTTATACTTTGCCCCTGTGAGTATCAATCAGACAGCAGACCCTCCCTGTTCCCACCCTGCCAGGTGCTGGCTCACTCCTATCACTGGTGGGACTGCTCAGGCCTTAGGATAAAGGCCACGTTCTCCTCCATGCTTCAAGGCTCTTTCCCTCAGACCGTCTGTCTGCCCCACTGTCTATGTCCGCTTGTCTCTTCCCATGAGCGCTGACATGCCCCTGCTAGGTTACACCCTGCACTGCCTGTGGACTCAGCAGCTGTGCATCTCACTCCTCTCTCTGTGTCTTATGCGCGCGCGCACACACACACACACTCTCTCTCTCTCTCTGGATATTCATCTGTGGTATATTCGGTTGCCATTGGAAACCTAAGAAAGAAGTGTATATCCCCTTCAAGTCTTAGGCTGTTTTTCCCCCCTCCCCGTTCCTTGCAGAAGGCGAAGACTTTTGCAATGAAACTGTGGCAGCTTCGGTCCATCAAAGAGCTGGAGCGATGAGCCACCGCCTGCTCTTCTGTGTGATTGAAAGAGTCCGTTCTATAGCTCTGAGGGGAGGGAGGGGGCGCGGATGTACCTGCCCCTATTTCCACGCACCCCAGCATTCAAAGCACAGCATACCGAGGTAAGAAAACCTAACTGTGTGTCTCTCTCTCTGTGTCACTCGGTCCCCAGAGGTGGGGGTGGGAAGGCTGAGTTTCTGCAACATTGTTGATTGAATCTATGCTTAAACTGATACCCGTGGTTAGGGGCTGATGCCACCCCCGATCGGAGCGCTGCATGCATGGCACGGGAGGGGCCTTTTGCAAATCTGTAGGAAGAAGCTGTGCAGGTTTGCTGCATGTAATCCGGAGCTTTCTGCCTCCCCCTCCTCCCCACATATGCCTCTCTCTCTCTTCCTCTGTCTCCCCCCAGCTCCCCTCTCCCTCCATTTCTCGGTGGAAGGGACAGAGATTTTTACATTGCTCAGCAAAGAGGTAGGGTGCAGTCTATGGTGCAGCCACCTTCTGTCCCTGTGCACCCTCGCGTGATGTTAGGGGTGCACTTGGGTACTGGAGAAGCATCTCACAGCAATGTACTGAGGGGTGTTGTACTGCAGGAGGTGCTGTCCCAGCATGGCATTGGGCGGTGGGGGAGAGAGGGCTTTGGAGGTCACTGTCCATCTAAACTGCAATGTTCTCTTGCTCTCCATACCGCAGCATGGCATTAGGGCTCACGGGTGGAGGCGCCGTCCTCCATCATGTCTGGGCGCTCCATCTCTTAGAACACCAGATTGATCCTAGGAGGCCTCCTGGAGCTGGGGATAGAGCTTGGGCACATTCCATCTCTGAGCAGCCCAGCATTGCTTTTGCAGGTGGTGTGGTGCTGACAGTGCTGTCAGTTACTACCTAGACCACGCTCCTTCTCCTGCACCCCGGCACAGGGATGAGGGATCTTGTGCTGTGCTTCATATCTGGGCATGCTCCAGTGCCCCAGAACAGAATGGGGAGTGGCACTGTCCTGCTGCTGGGGCTGACCTTCATCACCAGACCCTGACCTATTCCCCATGGAGCTATGCATGCTATGCAACGCTCCTGGGAGTCATGCCCTCATTAGCTGGATGGGCTCCCATCTCCCAGGGCAGATGCCAGGGGCTGCTGTGTTGCTGGGAGATCCGTCCTTCGTATCCCATCCCACGGCCCATCTTGCTTGGAGTTGTGGGACCCAGAGATACTAGTGGCACTGTTTCCGGCTTGGCAATGGGCTGCGCCATGCTGAGGGAGTTGTTGTCCCTAGCGTGGCACTGCGGTAGGAAGGGGGTGTTGAGTTGTTATCTTTCATGGCTTCCAACTCCCAACAGGCTCTTGCAGAATGAGGGGGAACTGTGTGGCTAGACCCACAGCCCTTACGGTGTGATGCTGAAAGTGCTGTTCCTACTCTGGTGGTAGGAAGCACTGTGCCTGTGACACTAGAGGGCGCCCTGTGGCTGAATGAAGGAACTGTCCCCATGGCGCTAGGGTCCCCCTGTGGCTGAAGGGACTGTCCTCGTGGCGCTTGGGGGCGCCCTGCGGCTGTAGGGACTGTCCCCGTGCTGCTAGGGGTCGCGCTGCGGCTGTAGGGACTGTCCCTGTGGCGCTAGGGGTGCCCTTCGGCTAACGGGACTTTCCTTGTGGTGCTAGGGTGCGCCTTGCGGCTGAAGGGACTGTCCCCGTGCTGCTAGGGGGTGCCCTGCGGCTATAGAGACTGTCCCTGTCGGCGCTAGGGGGCGCCCTGTGGCTGTAGGGACTGTCCCGTGGCGCTAGGAGG